CACACACACACACCCACCACACACACACAACACACACACACACACACACACACACACACACACACACACACACACACACACACACACACACACACACACACACACACACACACACACACACACACACACACACACACACACACACACACACACACACACACACACACACACACACACACACACACACACACACACAGCACACACACACACACACCCACACACACACACACACACACACACACACACAATGCACACACACACACATGACACACACACACACACACACACACACACACACACACACACATATATATATATATATATATATATATATATAATATATATGTGTGTGTGTGTGTGTGTGTGTGTGTGTGTGTGTGTGTGTGTGTGTGTGTGTGTGTGTGTGTGTGTGTGTGTGTGTGTGTGTGTGTGTGTGTGTGTGTGTGTGTGTGTGTGTGTGTGTGTGTGTGTGTGTGTGTGTGTGTGTGTGTGTGTGTGTGTGTGTGTGTGTGTGTGTGTGTGTGTGTGTGTCGTCCATGGAAACACGAAGTCACTGCTTAGTGACGAGTTATGGAACAGAATGTTTAATTCGTTTCGGTTATTCAGAATGTCCTTTATCTTTGTGCTAAAATCTGATCATAGTTTTTTTCTGTTATTATTCCGTAAGTCTTGGCGTTTTCAGAAGGAGGCGCATCCACATTCGATCAGCTGAGCGAGAAAATGCAAGTTCGCTTGTTTCAACTCAAGCAACTACAAGCTAGGTGGTTCCAAAGAGGGTGAATAGCAAAAGCCAAAGAACCGACTCTCATTACAGGAGCTGTATATTTGATATTTTGAAGAAGAAAAAAATTCGTTTGGATTTATGTCAGTTAATCTTGCTCTTTATTTTTATTTGTTGTTTATACCTTTTTTTCCTTCTTTTTATCAATACGCTTATTTACAGTGTATGTATGTGTAGAAAAAAATTCTTGTCATCACAAAATAAAATCAAAGTTTTTATATGTAATTTTCATTGTGAACTAATAGATCAGATCTAGGCACGGATTCAATAAACAGACAATTATAATCATTTTACAATATTAACTGAACACAAAACCGTGGTCGGGTTAACCAGGCCTCAACAATGTGTGTGAAAGAACTGCAATTATACAGTTTTTAACGCTTTAAAATCTTTTGTTTTATATTTCATAAACATTTTGATCCCATTCTCACACAAAACACCATGCCATGTAGTTGATAACTAAGATACACATACACACACGCACATATATATAATTATTTATTTTTATTTTTTCATAGATGATGGGGGCTTCAGTGAATCGACTAATTGGGGATGTTTATTTATTTTGGAGATACTTTTACTGAAAATGGTAATAACTGTCGAAAGGGAAGACAGTAATGCTTATGATAGGAAATATTTGTTATTCAAACGGTGTCTAATCCCTGAGACAGAGGTCACGTGTTCACATGTAACGTCTCGATTTCTATCAGCTGTTTCGAGGTTGCTTCATCAGCCGTTTCTCAAACATTGACAATATTCGGCCAGACATTTTTCGTCGGGTTTGAGCGACATCCCTCGCTTGGCCACCGAAGGACTTCCACTTGGTGTTAGGCAGGGAACTACTTCGTAACTGCCCTGGACGTGTGTAATAGGGCAGTTAGGGCAGTTATCCTCATTGTTTCCGGGAAGGGCCAAGGCATAACCGTGTACTGATGGGAGGATTTTTTTTTTTTAACAATTCGATATATTTGTCTGAGAGGCATTTTCCCCGTTTCGCCAACATCATGTCGGGAGATCCGCCCCCACATATCGCAGGTCACGCGGCCGCGCCTCGCCGTTTTATAGGTAATTTGTCTGTCATATGTGAAATGTAAATGATGATATAGAATCTGAACATGAAATATGACGTGTAGGGCACTGTTCTGTATAAACAAATATCTATATAGTAAATCGAAATAAATTGATTTCTGAAATATTGAAAAGGGCTAACACTTACACCTTTAATTCCCTTCAGCAATGGAGCTTTCCGTGTATTCCCGGTGTATTTTCCTCGTTCTGGCTGCCCTCCTCTTCCCACCCTGTCTGCCTGTACACCATCGTCCGGGTGATGCCCAGCTCTCCGAATACATCACCGCTGGAGAAGTTACTTTCCCTCACCCCATTGTCAGAAGTCAAAGTTGGTCCCATATCCATCTGGACGTAAGGGACATGTTTTGTAGAGAAACATGCTCACTAAGCCGCGGGATGATGCGGTAGGGTGACCTGTTCCTTTCTGCCACGACTTTGACCCCAGCATGCTGACGTCAGCATAACAGTGCTCATTCACAGCTGAGTCGACTGAGGGGCAGCCGGGCGCGAACCCAGGACCATGCGATTGCAAAGCCAGCGCTCTACCATGAGCTATGCCACCTCCCTGTGTGTGTGTGTGTGTGTGCGTGCGTGTGTGTGCATCATAGCTTCGTAAAAAGGTTTAGTGGCACAATCAGGTCAGTCCATGAATTTATCACAAAGTGGAGATGATTTCTGCAACGGACAGGCTCTGCCTCTGCGCGCGTGAGCATGTGAATGGAGGACTCAGGTGCTTCGCTGGCAGTTGTTGTCGCAGGGTAACGAAGGCGAGGTCACGCGGGGCAGCGAGGTCTTGGCCAAACGGTGAGGCGTGACCTTGTGTTCCCGCCATTGTGTCCGTCGGTTAAACGGATTTCAAAAGAGTTACAGGATGTTGCCATTCAAAGAACAAAGCATGGATAATTTACTTAGATGCGGACTAATAGTCAATTATTTTGGCATCAAGCAAGCGACTTCGTTCGAGCCATCGTCATTTCTGACCGAAAACAAGGCCGCAGACGCCGGTCGCTGGAACTGCAAGTCATGGCGCTCGAACACCGGCCGGGCGCCCGCGGGCATGCGCGCTCGGCCGCCGGCGCCGGGGCTGGCGGAGAGCTTTCAGTTTGGGTCTGTTAGACATGCGTGCACACATACACACACACACACACACACGCACACCACACACACACAACACACACACACACACACACACACACCACACACACACACACACACACACACACACACACACACACACACACACACACACACACACAACACACATATATATATATATATATATATATATATATATATATATATATATGTATGTATGTATGTGTGTGTGTATATATAAATATATATGCATTTATATACATGTATGTATATATAAATTCAGTGATGCATATTTTCTTCAATAATTGATTGGATGATTTAAAGTCAGATTGAATTTCATCCAGGAAAACAGGAATTGAAACTCGAAGAGACAAGCTTATTTTTCGAAAAGTGCAAAGTTGACAGTCATAACACACAAAGCCGTCTGTCAGTTGGCCATCCGCCACAGAAAACGGATCATATAAGGTTAACTGGTGGAAATAAAGGCGGGATTTTTTTTCTTTTTCTTTTCCTTCCTTTCTTTTTAACTGTCACACCCCATCGTTTCAACATCATCTATGTGTATGTGTTTGAAGGAATGCCTGTTTTTATCTACCTGTGAAAGACACACACACACGCACGCGCACACACACACAGCACGCACACACACACACACACACTAACAATTCTTTTACTCTTACGGAAGAGAGGCAGATGTTCGCCAGCGCAATCAAAGAGGTAAAACCAAGTAAACGATGAAGAAGTATTTATATCTCCAAACTTAATCCGAAGCAGCAGTGACGTTTATATGTGGCAGCGCGTGACTCAGACGATTCATGTTGAAACGAGTGCCATGAGACGGGAAAGCTCTTGCTCCAACTGGCGGGGACGTTCGCGCGTTTGCTTCCATGTAGGAGGAAATAAACTCGCGGAAATCTTACTCTAGAGAGAAATTCATCCTTTGAGTGACCTACAAGGAACAAAAACACGAGTTTGAGCCACCAAGGGAAGGGAGAGAACCGCAGAGTACCGATAACATAGCTTTAGTCACGAAATTTCTGGGGCTTCCAGATTCGTCAAAAGTACCTAACAGCATATTCCAAAAGCAGCGCATCTGTATTGTCTGAGATTTATATCATATAAAGCTCCAGGTCTGTGTGCCCGACCTCCTCTGAAACATGCTTGAGGAGGAACGGCACGAGGTCGATCAAAGGGACGCCATTGGAAAAACCGGAAGGACACCACTGGAAGTACCGAGGGGCACCATTGCCTAGGGACGTCAGTGGAACGGCCTAAGAGGTACCATTAGAAGAGCAATGGAAGAATCATTAGAAGGGCCTAAAAAACGCTACTGGAAGGGCAGAGGTTGGACCGAAGGGCTTAGCTGAAGGGCCCAGAGGACGTCATGTGAATAGCTGAAGGGGTTCTGTTGGGAGGAGCGAGAAGGCACCAAGGCCAGTTCTGGAATGGTCGAAGGCAAACCATTACTGGGTTGTGCTTATAAAATCATCTGGCCATAATCCGGTCCTGGGAAGCTTGAACTTCTTGTGGGTTACAATCTAAACCAGACCAAATGTCTATTGTTGTGTCAGTTTTAAGAATATGTGAGCAATTAAAACGCTTAAAATAGAAAAGCTCGTTCCATAAAAGGAGCCAGCAATATGTTCCCAGTGGCGCCACTTCTATGCACTCTAGGAAGCAACAGTTCCAGGCCTATGAAGCTGGTGCATTCAAAATAAAAATGATAGAGGATTAAAACACTTTTACCTACCATAAGGGACCCCAACAATATGCGAGAAAGGATTTGTCACTTCTCTGAGGACGTTAATTTAAGGGAGTAACATTTTCTCATACCAGTAAATTGTCTCAAAGACATATATAAGTAAATTAGCAAACCTTAAGACCATACGAAATTGTCTCTAACAGGAGACCCTTTGACCCGTTGGCCTCCAGGACTTTAGCCCAAAGTTAGCCACCCAATCTATGTTTCTGTGTGAACGATTATCTAAGCTTAGTCTAAGATAATCTGCCCTGCAATCAGATGCACGATGCAGCCGGCACCCAGAAAGAAAACTAA